AAATACGCGAACAAAAAGCCTACTAAGTGTAATGTATACGGTACGCTTAATTTACATTGCCATCGGACTACTGGCCTGTCACTGTCACTGTTGCTCAACAGTGAAGTATCGCAGAATATGAAACACATTTTCATGTAAATTTTCTGTACTTGAGCGCGTGATTTTCGAACCAGAAGTAAATGGCTTTCCTGTCCAATTCTTCCACCAGCTACCCTTACAACGGCACTTCATGGACTTGGTATTCAAATAAAGAGCTTTACAGCACGGAGATCGTTTGGTGGTGCGTAATCTTGTCATCCAACGCTTTTTTGCTGACACTATTTGCTTTCCGAAAGCATCTAGTTACGCCGTTTACCGTGTACGTAATTTTTCTTCTGCTATCCAACATCTTAAACGACGATATTTGTGTGCTGCCGTACTCTTTCACAGCAGTGTTATTTCCCCCTGAGTTTACTAAAACCCGTCTTGTCAGCTGCATTATCTATCTGTATGGTGATTACGTTTTGTTTGGTGTGACGATGTATTGCCATGTCTTAATCGCTGCCAACAGGCTGTGGGCTGCGTATTTCCCGCTTCATTACCGGCAATATCACAACATCAAAACTGCGATCGCGGTATGCTTAATGGAATTCGTAGTCCTCAATTTTCTGACAGTTCCAGTTGTCATTATTAGACTGATCTATGAGCCAGATGAAATAGCTGTTTGTTCATTTGAAAAGAACGCAAGTAGTCTTTACCTGGATTTATTAACAATTGTGTACGGTCTTCCGGTACTCCTAATGATTGTTGCTTATCCGTTCGTGATTATAAAAATCTGTAGACCGGCAACGAGTACGTCATCCCATATTTCCAGTAACGAGGTCAATGGCATCGTTCTGAGGCAAAAAAAGCGATTAAAAGAATCAAGAAGATCGTTGGCGGTTATGACCTTTATGACCGTCAGTGTGGTGTGCTGCTATTCGCCGTCGCAAATACCGTTTATTGCGCGCCGCTTCACAACTTTCGCCGACCCCGAATGGCTGCAGTATATGAAGGACGCGACTTACTATCTGCAAGCGGTTCTGGATCCGGTGATATTTGGCTTGTGTCTGGATGATGTACGACATGAAATATTCCGCATCCTCCGTATCCCACTGACGACACCTTCGTGTTGTGGTAGTCATTAGCAGCATTGCTAACTTTTATTCTACCTAATGAGCACTTGTATTTCCTCGCATATTAATATTAACCCGGTCACTGCCTACAATTTTTAAAAGTTCTGGTGGACATTTGTAGTAGAACTTCTTAACAATTTCTGCACGATAATTCAGCACTGAACACTCGCAGGGTTGACTAGATCGCATAGGTCCATCAATAACCAATTGATAACCGACAATACATTAGTGGTTATAGTATACACTATACAGCGAAAAATTACATAGTATGCAGTGTAACAGCGGCCATAGTCTGTAACTGTATACAATTACAGACTATGATAATTAAGTGCTCGTTAGTATGCTTCTCAAAATGGCAACTGGTACTTGGCAGCACTTAAAAAACGGTGGTTTTGTAGAAGTCAGATTTAATCTTATTTGTATTCGGAAGATTACATTAAATCACTGATGGATGCAGTTTTGTTTGATATAATGCACAATTTATTCTTTTCTGAAGTCAAAACTCCGCACGTTACGTAATAATATTTAGTGCATACAATTAAAGGCCTTCAGGAATAAATAAAACCAGTGAACACCTGATGCAGTGATTCTGGTTCAAAATTCTATAATTAACGAAAGGAAGCAGTTAACACAAAATGAAACGAAAAATATTCCAAGCAAGAAATATTCCTTTATGTACAAGTAATCATCTACAAAAACATGCCTTTCGTCAGAATGATTCAGCAGTGACCAGCTTGGAAGTATTCCTAAATATCACAACTGATCCATTGGAAATGACATTTCCCAGACTTTCTATGAACCAGTCCGTAGGCGGCATCCGACCACCGTGGCCGAGTTCAGCAAACAGAATTACATTAGTAAATATCATTCCCGCGACCTGAAAAACCAAGTTCATGAAGCACTCAAGCCGCATTCAGTTAATGCTGTCGACTAAACTCACTCCCAGGCAAAAATCTCGAGTTAGAAGTAATCCGCCAATTGAGAAGGTGCTGGGGCTGACTTTTAACTTATCAGCCAGCTGTTTCACATCTTCGAAATTTTTTCCGTATTTTGCGGTAATTGATCGAAGAACAGCCAAACTTGCCGACATCTGTAATCAAATAATAAATATTTGTAGTAATGTGAACCATCAAATTTTATCTATCTGTTATTTCAATACGTAATTTAATGTGCGAATGAGTACGTGCCCTAAAAGTTTAGGGCAAAGATAAGAGGCCTTTAAAAATTTATTTGCCTAATGCCTAATTTGCAAAATTATTTTCTTACTTATTACATATTTACTTACTTGTTCGCTTAGGTGTATAAACGCCACGGCAATGATCGTTAGCATGAGTGTACCACGAAATGCATTCATAAAACTCTGCCAGTTTATCGCCTGCTCATGAGCGTAGTGATCGCCCAGACGGTACGCCGCCGTAATAACCCACGCCACATTCTGAAAATTACACGCCAGGTTGAAAGAAGCGAACTGCCGATCGAAGAACAGAATGCTCTGCCGCATGTATTTGTACGAAGCAAGGCACGCAGCCGTTTTCTCGCTGCTTTCTAAAGATGCCACCGCTTTCTCATTCAATTGCCGCACTCTTGCCGCCAAGAATACTGCCGTGAAGAACACCAGTGACTGTAGTCCTCGCTCCCATACGACGTCCACCCGCCACAAGCCACAATGCAGTGCAGTCCACATTTTGCACCCGGACGTTTGACACTCTGCGCTGCCAATGCCATAACAAACGGGGATGTCGTTATTGGCAATATTAAATACCGTCAAGACCGCGTTCAGTATACCCCAGAACGCCATCGTCCTTAGCAGGCTGCGGCGTTGCACAGCGGTTAACTGCCAGCGCAATTTCTTTTCCATGTCAATCATCAGCTGAAGGACTTTCGGGCCGGCCGCCCATCCCACATACACCGAATACATGATGACCAGCGAATCCAGCAGGTCGCACACGTACACGACAATGGCGTTAAAGCTGACCGCATTGAGCTGCTGCGTGTAGTTGTACATCTTGTATCCCTGGGTCACCGCCACTATTAACGCTTGGAAAATCCCAAATGCATTGGCGGTACGTAAAGTCAGGGTACGCTTGGTGTCAGCTGATGCCGGGAAAGAACTAAAGCCCATAGACCACAGGAAAATCATCCAGGTACGATACACTGTACTGACGAAGCCGCTATTACTGCGTTTTTCGGAGTTGCTCGGAGTTTCCATGCCTATCATTAGCACTGTCATCTCAATAATGTATGTTATAAGATTAATGTGCAAAAGAAAACCTATTCCTGGTGCAACTGCTTTACAATTTATACTGACGGAAAATAAAGGTGGCCTCAAAGCACGCTTGTCGATTCATGCTGTACAAGCTTTTCATGGTCCCTGTGGGCGATTCCTGTAAACAAAGGAAGTATATTTATTCCATTAAAAGTCCCTGTACGCGGCTGTATTAGTATGGTAAATACGGTCGCTCGCGACTCTTCTGACAGAACTATTGCTTCCAACGTTCGTGCATATCCTCGCTAGTGACTCATAGGGATCAACTCCCTTTTACGCATGTGCCTGGCGTATGTATCCATACAACGGCATCAGACATCACATGGCCGAACGAGGCGTAACTCTCAGGGAACAGTGGTAAAATGCTCTCAGTGAGGTCATTTAGGGATTCCACGTCGTTGTGATATTCGCTATGTTCCAGTGGTTTATTTGTTGGTACATTACTGGCTTAGAATATAATCGACACAGATGGTATATTTTATATAATAATGTCAAAAATAGTGAAGATTTTTAGGCATGCTTTGGCAGGTTTCCATAAACTTTTGCTAACAAAACGATTTTGACATGAGTTGTCATGTAGGCATCAATCGCGAAAGGTCACAGCGTTAATTTTGCTGACTACTGGCAGCGGCCGGTCATTCCGTTGTAGAAATACGTCTGTGGACCAGTTTTACCGCCATCGCAACGCACAGATTATTTCATCTTTTTCAAACATGCGTCGGGTACAATCTCATTCGCTGCTGATACGCAGTGCGCCGCAAAGACGACTCTTCGGCTAAGCCGATTTTTTTTTGTCAACGCCGTTAAATTAGTCGCCTCGGTAATTAAAATACTCGTAACGGTCAAATCGGCTTACATTAATCCAACTGGCGGTATCCGGAAAAATGCAATGAAAAAGAAAAAAGGACGATTTGCATGCTAATCGATGTTAAATTAGGTTGACGTTATCACGCCGTCTCTCTATCAGACTAACCATTGTTCTTAACATCCCTGTCTTGACCTACTTGCACATCTCACTTGCTGCCTATCAGTTACCTGCTTCTTCGACTACACTGAATCGTTGTTACTTTCAGTTGAAAATTTTCTCCGACCTGCCAACTCATTAATCGCTCAATGTTTTAGAGGTAAGCTCAAGGTAAGCTCTACTATTCAAAAAGAGGTCAGCGCTGGCCACACCATCGGACCATTTCCCTCCCCACCTTTACCGCACTTTGTCTGCAACGCGCTGGGCGCGCGACTGAAGAAAGACGGTAACATTCGCACCATCCTGGACTTATCCCAGCCGCACGACGACAGTGTAAACGATTACATTGACGCTGCACAGCTCCCGCTCGTATACTGCACCATCGACCATGCAGTATTAATCCTCACTGAGCTCGGCAGAGGCGCACTCATGGCTAAAATGGATGTGAAATCAGCCTTCCGACTGATACCGGTACGCCCAGCGGAGTGGAACCTCCTCGGGTATCAGTGGAACGGTGAGTTCTATTTTGACGTAGTGTTGCCTTTTGGGTGTAGGGCGTCGCCGTACGTGTTCGAGCAATTTGCTGGCGCAATCCACTGGATCGTATCGAACCGCACCGGTCTAGTCAGCATGCTCCACTACGTCGACGACTACCTATTTGTTGGTAAGCCCGGTAGTGATCAGTGTAACACAATGATGTCCACCATGACTCAGACGTGCAGTGAGCTCGGGGTCCCTTTGGCACACGACAAGACCGAAGGGCCCGCGACTCAGCTGACGTTCTTGGGTATCCGGCTGGACTCTGTCCGACAAACCCTCAGCCTCCCCGACGACAAGCGACAGAGCATTGAGGAAGCGCTGAAAGAATGGAGCAACCGCAGCCATTGCACCAAACAGCAGCTTCAAAGCCTAATCGGAATACTCACGTTTGCCACGAAATGCGTTCCAGCGAGCCGCCTGTTCACACGGCGGATGATCGCCCTGCTCACCGACAACCGCCACGAACGGGTCATCGCCCTCAACCGCGAATTCCGTAAGGACCTTGAATGGTGGAAAGAATTTCTTCCAGCCTGGAACGGCACTGCGTCCTTTATACAGCCAGATTGGACAAGGTCCGACGTCCTTGACCTTTACACAGACGCGTCGGGAACTCTCGGGCTGGGCGCATATTTTCAAGAGTCGTGGTTCCAACTACGCTGGCCACCGTGGATTCTGCAGCGGAAGCCGTGTATTGAATACCTTGAGCTGATACCCATACTTCTAAGCCTAATTGTTTGGGGCTCAAAACTACGCGGCAAGCGGGTCATTTTCCACTGCGACAACGAAGGCGCCACCTATGCCTGGGAAAATCTCCGCTCCACCAATGCTGGCGTACTAGATCTTATGCGCCGAATGTTAAAGGCCGCCGCTTGCGCTAATATGACCTTCACGTTGAAACATATACGCGGTGTTAATAACGCAGTTGCTGACTCTTTATCCCGTTTTCAGCTGCACAGATTCCGAGCGCTCGCACCAACAGCGTCGGAACGACCGGATCCATGCCCGGATATCTTTCCGCAGCTTTTAATGGCGTACAGCGGACAAGCGCCCTAAGCGACCTCCTGCATGCTCACATTGCCAGCTCCACCAGGCAGACCTACGTGACCGCCGTTAAACAGTTTTCAGCATTTTGCCGGACAAGATCAGCGCAACCGATGCCAGCTACGCCAGATATTACCGCGGAATACGTCGCTCACCTGTACTCCACAAGGAAATCACTCCGAACCGTGACCGTCTACCTTGCCGGCATCAACAACCACCACCGTGAAGCCGGCATGAAGTCACCAACAAGTCATGACATCGTGATCCGCGCACTGCTAGGCTACCGACGCTTGGCTCCACCGGGCGCGGACATACGACAGCCAGTCACACTGGAGACGATGCGATACCTGAAAGATGCTATCCGTTCCAGTGGCATGTCCCACTACGAGCAATCACTGCACTGGGTAACATTCACGTTCATGTATTTCGGCTTCCTGCGCATCGGAGAAGTGACCTGCCCGAGTACCAACCGCTACGATCCGCGGCGCACTCTCATGTCAGCGGATGTGCAAGACCACGGAAGCCAAATACTCCTACACCTTAAAGTCACGAAGACCGATCCAACCGGTCAGGGCCACTCCGTAGCGCTGACGGCGACAGATCGTTCCGTGTGTCCCGTGCAGGCCTACCGGAAGTACTTGGCTCACGCTCAGTTCATGCCGACAGCTCGAGCGCGGCCGTGCCTCATCCATCAGGACGGCAGATACCTCACCAGGCGTTCTGTAGAAGCCTGCCTCCATCGTCTCCTGGAGGGACACCCTGACCAGCTCCGGATAAACACACATAGCTTCCGCATCGGCGCAGCAACCACCGCCGCGCGCAACAACGTGCCAGACCGCGTAATTCAACGCGCAGGGTGATGGAAGAGCAACTGCTACGTGCGCTACATCCGGACGCCGGCGCCAACCGCGCTGAATCCCTACTCCAACGGGTAATGGTTTTTGTTTGGGGCAGTCGGGCAGAAATGGGATACCGGAAACTCGTTGTCGGGAGGTCCGCCTGCACCGAACTCGATTTCGCGTATGCCCAATTATGCCGACCTGTTCGCTCTCAAAACCCGCAACACCGCAGTCGCTTCCGCCTAATCGCATATATCCACAAACCAACAAGATACCGCGGCGAACCGAATTTAAAGGACGATTTGCATGCTAATCGATGTTAAATTAGGTTGACGTTATCACGCCGTCTCTCTATCAGACTAACCATTGTTCTTAACATCCCTGTCTTGACCTACTTGCACATCTCACTTGCTGCCTATCAGTTACCTGCTTCTTCGACTACACTGAATCGTTGTTACTTTCAGTTGAAAATTTTCTCCGACCTGCCAACTCATTAATCGCTCAATGTTTTAACCACCCACCCACCCTACAAGGTGGCAGAAATTTGTCTTTAATTGTTACATCTAACAAGCAAATAAAGGGAAACGGGCAGTCGGGCAGAAATGGGATACCGGAAACTCGTTGTCGGGAGGTCCGCCTGCACCGAACTCGATTTCGCGTATGCCCAATTATGCCGACCTGTTCGCTCTCAAAACCCGCAACACCGCAGTCGCTTCCGCCTAATCGCATATATCCACAAACCAACAAGATACCGCGGCGAACCGAATTTAACGTTATTTATGAGTCCAACTTATAAACGTTCATTGCCGGTATGTGTTGCTAAATTGAGCTTCCTCATTTGAATTAGAGTCTAGATGCGCAGATTTATGCGGACTGCATATTTCGAAGATTGAAATGAAGACTTCCCTGGGCCGCTTTGCCGTTGTTATGATAACTAGAAACGATAGCGCGCAATTTGGGACCATCGTGCAATTATTCTTTTGCGAACTGCGAAGTCTCAAAGGTTTAACAGGAGGAAAAGCCTAAGTAGCGTATCTGGACGTCGTGCGAACGATGGCCTACCTATAGCCACTATGTACTTAACACACGAAGGGCTGCCTTATCGATCGTCTTTCGTTCAGTTTCACCAGGAAAAATTATCTACGGCGTTGATAAAGTGTTTGTGCTTTCGGTTCATCTTGTACAGGAAACGTAGATTTCATTAAAAGGGGCAAAAAGAAAAGACGTTGCCCAGTAATTCAGTGTATTCCTTTACCGGTCACAGTTGTGCTGAGCACCGCATGCCGGGCAGGGATAGACACAACACCGGGTTAATTTCTGACGCATATTCATCTTGATTAGGCTGTTTACTCTTGCTATGCGTGAGGCGGCGGCAGAGTTACAGTCAAAGATTTACTGGTATCAATCCCACTAACAGCACTCTTATGCGCACATAACCCGCATTATCCCTTTTCATTATCTGTTCGCGTTTATCATCGCCAACAGCCTACAGATATGTACGTGGATAATTAAATCATCTCGCTATTTCCGTAAGACGCTTGTGTTTAGCTCTGTTCAAAGTGATCCACAATCCGTTTCTAATGCGGCACTTGTACGTTGTGCTTACAAAGCCGATAAGGTTGCGCGGTGTAATCACAATACCGGCATTTACGAATGTAATGACACTGGCATCCTGCTTAGGAAGTATGGAGTTTCCTACTTCAGTGCTCATTTACCATTAACCGCACCACAGTATAAAAGGCACACTTCCCTATGCCCTAACTGGACTTAATAAATAAGTCCGCAGTTTTGTGCATTTTTGATTTAGTCGAAGTACGGTGGCAGAATCCTGATTCCCTGAGTAGTTAATGCTACAACATATTATTCTGCAGTGCAGGTAAATCCGCTTCCCATTATTTTTTATTCCGCGTGTGTTCTGGCTTCCCATGCCTTTTATCACGTTATCCGCCCAATCACTCTACAAAATTTCTCTTTGAACTCTGTACTTTTACTATAGCACTTTTACTACTTACTTTCGCACATCCGTCAGTGCGACGGACAAATTTATTAATACATCATTTCTTCGTTCATTTAATTTTTTTGTGGTACAAAGAAAATGCCGAATGCAACGCCTGGTGTTTATCTGGTTTCCAATCTAACCTTGTGGGAAATCCACTTGCTTGAATTTCAACATCAGTGGCTACAGCAGTCCGCCTTGAACTATTTCTACGTCGCAGTGATGACAATTTTTGCACTGCTGGGAACTCTTGCCAACATGATTGTAAGAGTTTCTGCTGAATACTGAATATCTCTGGTTTAATCAAATTACCGCCTTTAAAACATTTTCTTTGTAGGTCATCATTTCCTTACTCGTAGTTCCTGAGCTACATAAAATCGAATATGCCTTTGTGGGGAATTTAGCGGCTGCTGATATGTTGGTTACCGGAGTTGTTATTCCAGTGAACGTACTAGGTACATACTACATAACCATAAATACCGTTCATTACCCCCGTAAAAGAACTGTTTCTCTGTCCGTTTCTAAAAAAGCGGTGGTGGCAAGGAAATGCTATATGTATAACGTGCTACGCAACTTTAAAAACTGATAGAGTCAACCGTAAACCCATTTCTTTCTCAGAGTTTTTATATTATATTATTTTAGCTCTTAGGTGACATTATTTTGTTAACAATAATAAGAACCAGCCAGCATTTCTTGATTTTAACTATGTCAGTATAGTGTATTTGTACAATTGTACAACGAATGATGCACTATTCTTCAGTTTATGTTTAAGACGACTTCGAATGCTGCCTTATATGGGCTCCCCTTGTATTACTCTCCCTTATCTGGGCTCCCGGCTAGTTAGCAATGCCCGTCAAACTAAATTTATCGGATTTATTGCAGAACCATTTTCTACTTCTTTCAACAGGATTTACAAGTGAGCACACCAAAGAATTCATCCGATTTATGTTTATATATATTATCTATATAATAATATTTTTCATTAATTTCAACCGGATTTGCCAATGAAACTGAAAAATGCCGAAATTTCGTATCACACTATTTTTTCATGGGGTTCTGAGTGCATTTAAGCGGGTGACGTTTCTTCTCGCTCTTTTCTTCCAAAGCGTCCAGGAAAGCTGATTCTGTTGCAAGAGCGCCTTTGACAGTTCACAATCTCGAGTCTTTCTCATATCGTCGTTTCGCTGTTTGAAACTAAATGCTACAAAAGTACTGACAAAATAAGTATTTTAAATAAATCAAAATTTTCGGTCAGGTATAACACTGATAACAGCTGCGAAAGTGTAAGTAATAACGTAACCGTCCATGTGGAGGGTTGCTCATATTGCTCGGGAGCCCAGATAAGGGAGAGTAATATAAGGGGAGCCCATATAAGGCAGCATTCGAAGGATACATGCAAGTGATTACGCGTTTAATGTTTATTCGTAAGGCAGCTACCGTCGATTTACCGAGGTAAACTGCAGTGTAACATACGTAAAAATCAGCTCAAATTCAAGTAAATTCATTATGTAACTTTGTTGTCTGCAGCAACCCTTCGTGGACCGACCATGTTCCGTGATCATCCCTGGTTTTGTGAACTGGACGGTACCATTTGTGCGTCAGCCTGTGCCGGATCAATCTGGTGCATTATGGCTATCAGCGTAGAAAGGTAGGACATCGTAACGGCAGTATATTAATCGGCACTCGACACTAATATCTGTAGATTGTCTCAGCTGCGCAAAAATTTTCACAACACACCGAACGCATTAACCGGAAAGCTTAGGTGTATCCGGTAGTTGTATGGTTTTGAGGCTGCATAATCGCCACTGACCTGTAATTACTCACATTGAGTATGGTTTACTTTCGCTCTATTTCCGGCTTAATACCCAAAACACGGCGTTATAATTGTTACTGAAAGGTCACACAAGCGTCTTTGTACAAAGACGCAGGAATTTCTGAGAAATAAAGCCAAGATACTATTTTCTGTGAATTGACAAGATTCATAAACCCGATGCCATAAACAGTAATACTTGTAAGTTGTAACGTAAACCTTCGCACAGCGTGCTTTTGACAGGTGACTGAAAAAGCAGCACCAGTAAGAGACGGGCAAAACAACACCAGTTGAAAACAACACCAGTTGACTGTACAACGGTTAAACACGGCTAACTTAACAAAGCACTAAGAAATCATTTTCACAAATCTTGATAAGTTTTTGTAACTAAAAAATCCAGCCTTCAGCAATATACGAGTAATTCGCTATTACAGTATTATAAACGCACCACAAACGTTTCTTCGTTTTTTTTCAGGTATATTTGCATCTGCCACTTTTCCGTGTACCAGAAGATGTTTACCCCGCCCCGCGTCGCGGTGATGATAATCTGCCTGTGGATTATCGCCCACAGCATCCATCTGCCTAATTTCATCGGCTGGGGCCACACGAGCTACTCCGGTGACCTTTACCTCTGTACCGCCGAACTCGGTCTGTGGTCATACTCGGTCTTCTACGGAATGAGCGCTATCCTCGTTCCCATCGGAATTAGTTTCTATGCGTATTTGAAGATCTATCTGCGAGTGCGTCGCAGTCGTGCTGGACGCCGCCATCTCACCGGCAATAAAAGCACAACCATGCCCAGCGCTATCACCGGTGACATAGTGGTTTTTCGAAGACATTTGTAAAGCATTGACATAACTGGTGACCTTCTAGGCACAGATTCCGACCCGGTTACCAATAATCCAAAGACCCAGATTGTTACCAAGGCGGCGGTCAGCAATGTGCAGGAGGAGATGAAACTGCTGAAGGCGCTCTTCAAGGTGTTTATTATGTTTTTGGCATCCTGGTTGATGATTGGAATCTTTTTCGTGGCGCGGGCTTGGGTGTACTTCCCCAAATGGTATTCCTACGTAGGACTGATTCTGGCGCATGGCAGCAGCGCCACGAATTCCGTTGTTTACTTCTGGATGACCGATCTGATGCAGACCACAAAGAACGGCTATATCCGCCTGTGGAAGCAGGTTCGACGATCACGTACCCAACCGCAGTTGTTCTGAGTGGAGAAGGACGACAAGGAGCGAGAAACCTTTGTTTTTGGTCGATTTATATTATTCCGCTTATTTTTAGAGTTATTTGACGCACACCAGGCGGCAGGCAACCGAAAATCGCAGCCAACAGTAATAGGTTTAAGTGCTTACAGGGGCGCGTCTAATTATTGCGGAAGGCGCTAAACGTTAAGCATGAAGGATTTTGAGTTTTCACCGGGTACAGCGGGTTGATAACCACGCATTTGATTACCCATTGCTGTCCAATATTAATCAAGTCGTAGCTTTTACAAAGGTTTGAAAATGTAATTATCGTCCGAAATGTACGAAGGGGAGTTCCCTCACAAACAGGATAACAAAAATGTTTTTCAGGGGTTTCTATTTTCTAAGATGGGAAATACCCCGAAAGCCAGTGGCATTTCCCCGTTCTAGTTATTTCGGTTAGCTTTTAACGCGTGGGGCTAAAAAATATATATATTAACATTTAGTCTATAATAGTATTGGGTCAGGTCAGCCACCGTGTCGGCTTGAATGATTTCTTTGTTAGATACTTTGCAGTTTGCACGCCCATCAACAATAACTCGTAGATGCAGTTTGCTGTCTTTGCACGTATCTGTAGCTAAAGTTGTACAATACGAACACATTTGGAAGTAAACGAGTAAACGGAAAGTTTTAAGCCCTTTCGAGAAAGTCTCTGTCTTTCTCAGTGTTGTTTGAAATTCGTATAATATTCGCAGTTGGTTTGCTCTTTTAATTTTTAGCAATAAAGGGGAATGACCTTTAATAAGTACAACATGAGAGTACAAACTATGTACTAAAAAAGGACAATAAATGGTGTATCACAAAATTCGGATTAATGTTTATCATGACCAGTAAAACGTAATAACCAACTGGTGAACCTGCATGAATAATGCCAAAGCGACATAGCTAGAAGTTGGCAGTTTTACCGCTTTATGAGTAATTATAAATCCCGTTCGGTTTATACGGTATTGCTGGTAATAACTGCTTGTACAATATCTGGAAGACGGTAGATTCATCACCTATTACTTTAGACCGTTGAATACAAGTGTCCCACTATATGTAAAGTACTGTATGTGCAAGTACTATATCTACAAGTACCTCCTGTATACTGTATCTAAAGTACTCAATCCAATAAGCCTACTTCGTACAATATATCGACAAATACTGTAGCCACAAGCACGATATTATTATTACACATACAAAGCTAACTGAGCCGTTTCTTCGGCCAACATCTCCTCCTACACCGCTCGACGCTAATTTTCGCAAGATAGCTTAAAAAACGTCTAAAATCATGTAGTTTGTCTCAACGACTTTCATTTTTCGATCTTTTCGTCCTCCAATTTACGAAACCGCTCCAAAACGAATTTCGCTGATTGGTCGATCATTAGAAAGTAACAGAGGATTGGCGGAAATGCGTAACTTTTCGAACCTAAACCGCTGACACATGGCATATGTACGAACATATGCATATGCATTTTGTTAAGCAAAAGGGCATACACCCATTATACTGGGTTTGTCCACTCGGTTGGTTCGTTTTACGGGAATGCAAATTTTGAATGCAGCAGATGAAAATAATCATTATTTTGCAACAGTCACCGTTCGATACTTATTTTTACACGATAGCTCGAAAAACGCCTATAATCATGTAGTTTGTCTCAACGACTTTCATTTTTCGATCTTTTCGTCCTCAATTTACGAAAAGGCTTCAAAGCAAATTTCGCTGATTTGCTTATCGTTAGAAATTAAAAGAGGATTGGCGGAAATGCGGAACGTTTCGAACGAAAACCGCTGACTAACAGCATGCGGTACAACGACACTCATGAGCCGAAAAGCACTATACCGTTAGTTAATACTGTTAATATTGTGGTTGCAGTGAAAATACAGAAATGCGGAAAGACGTAACGTAAAACAGACTGATTAATGAAACAGTAACGTGGTTGGTAGCCTGGTTCTGTACATGTACATATTTTTACAATTACTGTTATTTATATACATAGCTAACTTCGCCGTTTCTCTTCAGTCTTCTCCTGTCCCTTCGGCGCCGATTTTCCCACAATAGCTTAAAAAACGCTTAAATCGTGCAATTTGTCCTTATGGCTATGGTGTTTCGATCTTCTCGTCACTCGAATTACATAGCATGACCAAAACGAATTTCGCTGATTGGCTTAACTTAAGGTAACTAATAGCTGATTGGCGGAAATGCATAATTTTTCGAACGAAATTGCTAACACGTAGCATAATATTATGTGAGCGGCATTTCATTTAATTGGCGGAAAGAAGAAAAGGATAACTGTGCCTTAATGGGGAAGGTACATACAAATACTAACATAAGTACGTATTATTAAAACGAAGGGAACACGATGAGCGCAATAAATGTCCCTGTAATGTGCAAATTCCCGACTGGAAAATATAATTTCCAATGGTATTCTTGCCGGTGAGACAGAGGGGAGGGAATTTTTGCCTGTCAGACAGCAGTACAAGGATTTTCGCCGGTCAGAAAGAAGTACAGGGATTTTCGCCGGTCAGATAGTAGTACAGAGATTTTCGCCGGTCAGATAGAAGTACAGGGTTATTCTTAGGTTATTCTTAGGTTATTCTTAAGGTTTTCTTAGGTTTCTTAGGTTTCTTAGGTTTCTTAGGTTATTCTTAGGTTATTCTTAGGTTATTCTTAGGTTATTCTTAGATTATTCTTAGGTTATTCTTAGATTATTCTTAGGTTATTCTTAGGTTATTCTTAGGTTATTCTTAGGTTATTCTTAGGTTATGTTATTAATAATATTTTTGGCTAATATGTAATTTGTCTCAACCTTCTTTGTAAACCACGATTTTAACGATGGTACTTCCATTAGTATATGCATGTGTTTAATGTTTATGGTCGCCTCTTCATATTTATAGCTCAGTTTATTATATTTATAAAAAGACATCAACGTAATTCAGCTGTTGATTTACACAACATGCTCCCTATTGCGTAACATGAGATTACTAATGTTAAGTGCAGTCTTGCTTTGCGCCTTGCGACGTGGTTGTACCATAACGGGAAAACGCAGTAATAAAAAAAGTTACCCTTTAACCTTCTACCGAAGTAACTAACTGACTTACCAGGGCACTGTCAGAGGTTCGCCTCTCAGAAAACTCTAATTTATTTTCTGGAGAGAGAGAGAACCTCTGACCGTTCTGGAGAACCTCTGACCGTGCCTTGGTTAGCTGAATTCTATAGCATTGAGAACTGAATAACGACAGTGACAAATTCAAAACAAACCGCATTTCCGATCCAGTTAAATGCCGTTTCCTAAATCTATATAAGACTACCACATTACTTACTTTCTTCAATTCTAAAAATTCTCAACCGAGGCCGGAGGCCGAGGTTGAGCTTGTAAGTAATAATTATAAGACAAACCAGAACCCCAAGCAAGACGCCACCAAATTTAAGCACGAGTAAGCAACAGTGGCACGGTTTACCGCGCTTACTTAACGGCTCTGAGTGGCTTGGCCTGCTGCGTAGCGACAATTTCTATGCACCTGTGGTGTTCCACTGTGCCCTCATTGGAATCCGCTTCGTACGGCTATCCTTAGGCCTTGGCTCAAATTCGAACCGTATCTCGCTACGGTACGGTGGCTCTACTGCACGAGGTGGCTTTGAGAACCGTACCTGTAGGCGTGGCCACTACAAATAGCTACTTCGTGCGGTGGAGCTGCCGTACCGTAGCGAGATACGGTTCGAATTTGAGCCAAGGCCTTAGTTTATCAGGGATGCACGCATGTACACAGCATATATGACATATACCAGTACATACATATATATGTAAGACGGCATATATTAGGTATATATTATTATAAAGGATTATACACAGCGCAGTGCGGTAATAATCGCAACATTATGCTTTGTTGCGGCTATGGGTAAATATGGGTGGAAGGCGTCTGGTTTTGCCCCTTATATATTGGTTGGCTATCAGTCTCTCACACTTATGATGTTGCCATTTTTCTGCGTCTTCTAACTCTTTAAAATTCGCGCGTTGGAAACTTTAGTTAAAGATTCAACGGGATTTTGATGCCGGACTGTCCCGGACACGCTGCATCAAAATTTCGTTGAATTTTAACCAAAAATTTCAACGTGGAAGAAGACATATTGAAAATAATCACTAATAATAATCTAAGTGACAAAAGGGTAACTTAGCGTAAGTTTGAATTGGGACATTTCAACGGCATCACGAACGGCAAACAGTGGGTGCTTGCACAAAAGTGACAAAACCCAATCAAGAAAATCGAAGAGGCCAGTTGCTTGGAGCCGTGCGATCAATCGAATAACAGCAATATATCCTGATACATCATTGAAAGCTAACACAAAAAGCTGATAGGCTATTTGATTTGAAGCAGGAAAGTTAAGTGTATCATCAGGCATACCGCTGCATCATTTAAATCCCTCAACAATGAAAGCCTTGCATTTTTTAACAAATTTGCGCATGGACAGAACGTTGCACTTGCACTTGAATTGTTTTAAGCATTATTGCATCCGAATTGATTTTTCGCTATCAGTTAATTCGGTGTTCTTTATCAGCCGTCAACATCAGCGGAATCTAGAAATTAACAAGTAGTTCTCTTTACAAGTCGTTCAGTGTTTACCACAGCTCCACATTGTGGAACTAACCATGACGGCTAGCATCGGTGACCTTTCTGTAGAGCCATCCAAATCGCATGTTCATAGCTTTGTGCGTAAAATTTACCGTTGCTGGTTTATCGCTCTTTGGGTTTTTGGTTTCGGAGGATTTCCTCACAATACTCTTCCCAACATCCGATGGATTAATTTTTTAGTAACTGTATTTGCCGTTTTTCAAGCGACACTAATCAGTGCAGCGCAGCTATATGTTATGCACGGTAATGTTCTAGAAGTTCAATCCGATTTGAATTTCACCCGGATACTGATCTGTCTCTCGGATTTGTTTGATTCCGTTCACGTACACGCGGCGGTTGGACTGTGCTGGAGTATCAATCGGCGAATATTACTTCTCATCTCCCATATTGATAAAGAGCTTGCTGACTGCTTTACTAAAGGGAATAAGCAAATTATTATTTTCTTACTTGCCATCTGGTTTAGTTTCCACTCAGCGCTTCCGATCTATAGTGTTATTGAACAAGACATTCCTTCCTACGAGGAGGAAACCCAGAACTGCCTTTCAAATGCTTGCTATTTTTTTACTGCCGGTTTTTACGCATACTGGAGAATCGGATATATCTGGAAAAGGCTGTTTGAATCACTGATAATTTTTACCGTATGTCTCATCGCCACTTTACTGAATCATACGAACCAAATTATGGGCCAACATGTGTTAGAAAACAACTGGGAATCGTTCAAGAGAAACCTTTCTGTCCATAAAACATTAAGGGAAACCATGACAGAAATCAGCGAAAATTTGGTTTGGTTCAATTTCTGTGTTGGTTTTCAGTATATTAATTGGATAGTGGCTTCGGCATATTATCTGGGCGCAGAGTTCGTGGACAACCACAGTGTTACGCATGATCTGGCGGATATTTT